GTGATATCCCTTCTGGGGTTCGAGGTTTTTCATCAACAGACAGAAACTGCACCAGTATAATACCAGTAAATATTCTTCCCTCCTCGTCTCTCTTTTAACCTCTTCCCTTCTGAGGAAGCATCCAGATGCATCACTTTTCTTCTCAAAAATAACCTGAGCACATCCTCAGTTTTCTGCTTTAAGCAAATTATATTTACGTAAGGTAAACCAGCACCCGCTACAGACAGGGGTGTGGTAAAATCTCTTTCTTTCTTTTTCTTCCAAGGTTGAGCTCATTTTGGTGTTGGCTAAAATTGAAGTAGATTCAATACTAATTGCATATTATTCTGAGACAGCCAGCCTGACAGACTCTTTCTATTAGCTGCATTCACGTTAAGCCTCATACCCAATACTTCCTATAGCTACTATGTTTTTTCAGTTTGGTTTTCTGTATTGCTTATCCAAGGAGGGCCAGTGCTAAAGGACTCGGAGGACTATATTCCTAGACACAGCTGTGGTTTCAGCCTGAAATGTCAGGAAGAAAAGGTTCATCAGAATCCACCACCTCTAAACATTTTCTCTACAAATTTGTATTTGAGAAATCTCTTGTGCTTGAATTAAACTCACCTTTCTGAGAAATTCAAAATTTCAGTGTAATCACAGATATGCATGCTGCTCCTGAACATTCAATATGGTTCATGCTTCAGCATATTCGTTCCTAATTTCTGTTGTATTCCAAAGTTGTACTGAATGAGTATTAAGTGCTTTATAAAAGTTTCATTTGACAAATCATTTTTTTTTATTGTGCAGAATTTCTGGTATATCTTTGTGGCGTTTTTCCCACAAAAAACCCTGGCATTATTCTTTCACGGGATATTTCATGCTCATGTAACTTGATGTCATTTGAGCATTTAGTGCTGCACCCTACAATTAGAAATTACACACACATACTTGTTAGTCTCATTTTTAAACAAGCTATCTTTATGTAAAGCTATAGAACAGTTCGCAGCAGGAAAACAGAAGCCAGAACAACATTTATACCCTAAAGCCTGTGGGGCCTTTAGGACCATATAACATATATCTGTTCTCCAAATTAGTGGCCATTTACTTCTGAAATATTCTGATCCTGCAAAGTTTACCATCCTCTGCGACAGAAATAGCAAACATGTGTGAGCCAAGAACCAAAGATGAAGCAGTGCTTGCAGAGGAAGACTATGCAAGCCTCGTCTGAAATCCAGTGCCGAGCCATGCATTTTCCATCAGTTTATAGGCAATTTCTGGACTGGAGGCTGATTTTGGTGCTAGTATATAAGAGATTATGCAAAGTGAATTCTGCAGGTCTTTATAGTACTATAAACCTAATGCTCTTCAGTGGAAAAACAATGGCTTTACCACAGCAGAGTATATCATGCCAAGTATTTGTAGAAAGACAGTATCAGTATGCTACTTTATTTTTGTTTCCAGTACTTTTTCCTCATTTTATGCAGAAGGAATTTTTGAATGCTTGAACAGGCACAGAGGGTAAAATACTGTCATGCTGAAATCAATGGGCCTTTTGACAATGCCAGGATTTCAATGAGGGCCTTCATGGGAGCATGCCACAAGGAGCAGCTGTTTCTTGGATGCATCCCAAAAGCTCCCCAGATATCTGATCTCATACAACTACCCCTATGGGTTCCCAGCAGAAAATGCATCGTTCAGCAGAAAGCGGTTTGCTCTCCTCCCCGGTTCTCTCCACCCTGCGTTCCTGGTATTCCTGAGAAATTCCCTTCTGTCCTCCTCCGGTTTTATTGCCCCCTGTGCCTTCCAGATAAGGCCAGAAATTACTTTTGAAAACTCTGCGTTGACACTAGTTTTTATGTTGTTATTTCAGCCCTTGCTGCGGTGTTCCTGCTGCTGCCAGCTGTGATGAAAACGTCTGACCCTTCAACCCAGGTCTTGATGGATAAAGGTAATCCATTTTTCAGTATGTGTCTTTCGAAAAAAAAAGGAAAAAAATCTGATTTTGATTTGTATGCACATGGTTTTATGGACAGTTTAAGGGTATTCATATTAGATTATCTCACCGCAGTCTTAAGACTTTTGTCTTTCAGATGTGATTTTGGAATGGATAATATTACCATGCACAGTATCATTCTGTCATGTTTTCCACTGATGCTTTTTGGTTAGTGCTTAGGACTCTGTTGTGTTGTAATCCTGAACCATATAGGCATTGCCCTGGATCAGGCTGTTGTGTATCTTTCAGCAAGTTCAGCTTTTACCAAAGCTTTGCCTACTGAGTCACCCAGGCTGCAGATCCCATGTTGCAGACTTCCTTCAGAAGCAGACATTCCAAGTGGGTTACTTGGGGAGAGACTATTTTGATGTAAAATTTAAATAAGACTTGGATAATGCATGTTGGATTGAAAACAGCAGTGGCAGGGACTCGGCAGCTGCAGCAGGCAGCAACAGACACCTCTTAGTCTCTTAATGTATGAAGAAACAGAGAAAAACGATTTACTAAGGCTGAATTTTTACCCACTGTGGCACTGGTGAAAGCATAACCATGCTGACAAAGCTATAGCTGAGTGATTTACAGCGCGGTACTTCTATGAAAAGGCCTCAAAAGTGGAGTCCACCACAACCCAAGTATCAGCCAAACCAGTCAACTGGCAGTAACACCAGTTGGGGTGGAAACTTATGTAGATAAAGTACTATGGCTGGCAAAGAATTGGGAACCAAATAAAATATTAGGTGAAAGAAGAGCGTCCTGGGAATAAAATTGTTTGAAAGAGCCCCTGTTGGCAAACACAGACCAAGGACAAATGCCAAGTAGGCTCAGTTGAATAAGCTTTAAACCTTTTATAGAAAGCTGAAGCACAAAAGCTTAGCCTAATCCAACCTATTTATATGAGTGTTTTCTGAACTTAATTACAAATTTAAAATGTTTCCAAATGTGTGGAGTGTTTCTGTTTGGATAGCTCGTCTAGCCTGGGTTCTCAGCAGTGCAAAATAGTTGCCTGGACTCTGCAAACTTTGCTCGCCTTGAGGTGTACGTGCACATGGTCTTAACCGTCTCTGGGGCTTGGAAGGTCTGCTTAAAGCAATTGAATAGGTGAAGGGTTCAGTTATTACCCTCGCTGTCTCTGGGCTAGGCTTTTGTTGGCTGGCTGACTGGTTGGTTTAGTTTTTGCTCTTGTTCCTTGGTGTTTGTCAGTCTTATGACCTCCTGCGCTTACGGAAAGCCCTTCAGTAGGCTCTACAGTCAATACTCAGGGACACTGATAGCACAGGTTATCATTAAGTATTAAGGGCCCTGCTGGCAGTCAGAACTTGCATACAGTGCTATTGTGTCGTACCTTAAAGGGCTTGGCCATGTAGTTAAGCTCATCGCTGAGCTCCCAAGAACCCAATGACCTACCTGTTGGCACCAGGGCCACCTGGGAACAGAAGCAGTAGCCAGCTACATGGAGAGAGGGGCCTCGCTGGAGCCTCTCAAGGAGCTGCAAGTGAGGAAAGGAGCAGCTTGTGGAGCTCAGCATGCTGGAGCTCAAGAAGAGCAGCTGGTCTCTCCAGCTGCTATTTGCTTCACGTGTGCCCAGAGAAGGGAGAGCTTTTGATTACAGTAGGAAGCTGCTGTGAGGGAAGGGGCTGGAGACTCTGCATTTGACATGTAGGTGTCTAAAGTCATGGCAGCATAAGATGTAGTAGAACCAAAGTCCCCTGAGCCCCATCAGGCTCTAATCTACAGTGCCCGGCATAACAGTGAAAAAAGTAGAGATACTTCATAATTATCTGGCCTGTTTCCCAATAAAGTTAACTGTAAATATCATCGTTATTTACAACATGCAGAAAATATCGGGATGACAGTTTAAATATTTACATTAAAGAGGAGATATAAGTATTTTTGCATGCAAAGCCCTCGCGAACAGCGCAGGGGGAGTTTTAACTCTGTACGACGGCAGGATTTGGTATAATCTCTGTTACCTGGTGATGTTTTCCATGAGGGAGGGCAGATGATGTGAAAGGAGCTGGTAACTTTACAGACCCGTTCTTTTTGTGATCTCACCTTGACTTAACAACTCAAAAATAGTAAAGACGGATTTATACCAGTTACTTGCAAGGTTCCACCCTGCTGTAATCCAGCTACTGCCTTCACGCGGAATATTGTTTTATGAAAGCGAAACGCTTAAAATTTTACATAGTCAGCCCCGTAGAATGAACCGTATTTGGATTTTCCTCAGACAACTGTATTTGGATTTTCCTCAAACGCATCTGACAGAATCTTCTAGGTTGAAAGGGACCTTAAAGGTCTCTTCTCTCAAGTCACAGGCGACAGGACGAGAGGAAATGGCCTCAAGTTACGCCAGGGGAGGTTCAGGCTGGATATTAGGAAAAATTTTTTCACCGAAAGGGTTATCAGACATTGGAATGGGCTGCCCAGGGAGGTGATTGAGGCACCATCCCTGGAGGTGTTCAAAAGACGGGTTGATGTAGTGCTGGGAGATATGGTTTAGTGATGGTGTTGTTTTTTGTTTGTTGTGCGGGTGTCTGACGTTTTATTTAAGAACAGAATTTGCATTTCATCTCCCCGTCTTTACCCTATCGAGGTTTATCGCAGCACACCTTACCTTTTTCCCTGAACCTGCATCTTTTTTCTCTTTCAAGCGTTTAATTGGGGACAAACCAGGCGCTTTAAGCACCTTTGCAGCTTTGTGCAGCCCCGCGGCCCCACAGCCGGTGCTTGCTGAGGGGGGCGCGGAGCTCCCGCGAAACTCAGACTATCAGCAAAGCAGGCATTTTTAAGGGGAAAATGAGGGAAGCTGAGCAATTCCAGGTTTAGGGGGTGCGTGTTTATTAAGAAAGGTGTACTTTTCTCCCTCCCCTCCCTGCGCTGGACACCTCCGGGGGGGTGATGCCGGGAGTGGGGGGATACGGGTCCCCGCCGTGTCCCGCCGGTCGATGCCCGGGGCGGGGAGCAGCCCGGGGGCCGCTTCCTCCTCCTTGCGGGCTGCCTGGCTTTTAAAGGCGGCGCGCCGGCACCCGGCCCCACACCGCCGCCGGGGCTCCGCGTCTGCCGCCGCCACCCGACCCGACCCGACGCGGAGCCGGCTGCGCCTGCGGGACGGGGGCCGGGGGGACCCCCATGGGGGGTGGGCAGCGCGGAGCCCCCCCCCACTAAGCTTGCCCGCCGGCCGCAGCATGCCGGCAGCCCCGCTCCTGCTGTGGTTGGGCTGCCTCTGCAGCCTCTGCCGGGCTTACTTCGAGGGCCCGCTCTACCCCGAGATGTCCAACGGGACCTTGCACCACTACTTCGTCCCCGACGGGGACTACGAGGAGAACGACGACCCCGAGCGCTGCCAGCTGCTCTTCAGGGTGAGCGAGCAGCGGCGGTGCGGCGGCCCGGCGGCGGCGGGCGGCGGGCTGAGCCTGCGGGAGGAGCTGACGGTGCTGGGCCGGCAGGTGGAGGACGCGGGCCGGGTGCTGGAGGGCATCGGCAAGAGCATCTCCTACGACCTGGACGGGGAGGAGAGCTACAGCACCTACCTGCGCCGGGAGTCCGCCCAGATCAGCGACGCCTACTCCAGCTCGGACCGGTCGCTGAGCGAGCTGGAGGGCAAGTTCCGTCAGGGCCAGGAGCAAGGGGGCCGGGAGGAAGCCCGCCTGGGCGACAGCTTCTTGGGCTTGCTCCTCCACGCCCGAGCCCTGCTCCGGGAGACCCGCCACATCTCCAGCGGGCTGCGGGACAAGCACGACCTCCTCACCCTCACCGTCCGCAGCCACGGCGCCCGCCTCAGCCGCCTCAAGAACGACTATCTCCGGGGATGAGACGGGACCCCCCCCCGCCCCGGGTCCCTCCACACCGCCGGGGGCGAGGGGCTTCGGACGGGGCCCACAGCCCTGCCTCCAGCGTGCCAGGGCTGGCTGGAAGGAGCACCTCCTCATGCAAACGCATCCTTCATCCTGGAAAAACTTATTTATTACGTTTGACTTCCTAAACAAATAGCGCGGCTTCTATAAACCAGGAGGGTAGAGGTATGTTTAAGTTAATGTCCCATATTTAAAGAATTACCCCGCATTATATCACTCATCTTTGGTGACAAAGCAAAGTAAGCTTTCTCGTCGCCCGATTCCCCGTCGTCGCTCTGTGTATCGGCTGTTCTGCTACAGCTCACCTGCCACAAACCTGGGTAAAGCCTGGTGCTCACGTGTAGCAGATGCTTAAATTGCTTTTGTTGTTACTTCCCTTCAGGGTGAAACTTCTGGCCCTCTATTAACTTTCTTAACCTTTTGTAACGGTATGTATTCTACACACGTTAAACATTGTTCTACTACGTAGATTTCCAGTTGTGTTTTGAAAGATGGGAACTGTTCTGGTGAGATTTGTACTCTTCCAGGCTTGCTTATCTGTGACTCTAAGCTATCATAACCCCAAGAGCCGGCCAAAAAGGCTTATGTCAGATCCTGAGAATGCTGATGCAGATTTTTATAGTAAGGAGAAGGAGCCCTAGTGGTGATTGTAGTTTCAGATCCCCAATTTGAGAGCCAGGTTTCTTAGAGCATGTTTCTAAAGCAGACAAAAGGGTTTTGTCTGTGCCAGCACAGTGACATGTCCTGTCGGTGCCTTTGTACTTTTGCTAGCTAAGCTATTAATAAAATTATTTGTACTCCTAGACAATAGCAAAAGTGCCTAGTGGGAAGGAGGGGAGGATTGTTTGGGTTTCTAGATTCATTGCTATATAATTGTCAATTGGGGGTAATATGGCTACTAAGTTACAGATACTGCAGGAAGAATCACTGTTTGGATGAAAAAAGTTCATATGTTGTTTTAATAAATATTTGAAAACAGTGTTAAAGCACTTTTTTTTTCTTTTATTGCTCCGCCTGAGACACTCTTGCTTTTAAACGTGTTGTAATATGTCTTTTCAGCAAAAAAATTGTGTGTAGGTTCTGCCAAATGAAATAATGTGCTTTTTAGTAAAAACAAATAAAAATCTACGGACTCAAGAGGTAAGCAAGTTTTGTTAAAAGAAGTGATAAAGAAAAGAAGAGGGTGCGTAGCATGGATTTTTGGCGTTTGTAAGCCTTTTTAAGAAACTCGCAACCTCATGGCACTGGAAGAGAAGCTGCTCAGTGCACATCTGAAGTCTGATCTTGTTAACCCTACTTGCATTCAGGTATACTTTGTTCTGCAGCCCATCCAGTTGGTAAGTTACTCAGCAGTGCAATGGGTCAACCTAAGACACCTGGGACCAGAGCACTGAAGACGCCAGGACATGTTGATGAAGGTGCATGTCTGCAGGACCACTGGACCATCCAGACAGCTCGCTTTCACTAAAGGCAGTGAGGTGTGGCTCCCAGCAGGAAAATTTACGTGTCAATTTGCACCTTTAGATCCCCAGGAACTTTGAAGATCTCGCTACAAAAGAAGAAACATTTTATTGTTTGACTTCGGTGGAACTACTGAGTGTAATTTTCAAGTATGTTGTCAAGTTAGAAGGTATGACAGGTTCTAGCTCTTAAAAATTAATTTCCTTGTGATACTTTCCTTGTCACTAGGGTTAGAGGTAACAACACAAGAGCAAACCCTACAGCATTTCTGGGATGGACCAAGCTCTAAAAGTGCCTGAAGGTTTCATTCACATCCAGTCTCTCATTTCTCTCCGAACCTCATAGGTTTACAAGTAGGTGCCAAAGATGTCATGCGGTTCCTTTTGTGCCCAGATGCTTCTTGAAAGTCATTTTGGTCTTTGCTCACCCACTTTGAGTCATTGGGTAAAATATGAACTGTAAACATCAGTAAAGAAACGGAAGTGACAGGCCATGCTGGCTTTTCTAGCCATATGACAGCAGTGTTCAAATCCTAATAGAAAAATAGTAGTAGTAGTGGTGTGAAACAGCTTCTTGAATATGCTTGGAGCACCTTGGCTATTCTATTTGCGGTAGCAAACTTTTAGTCAAGCTCAAACTATCCCAACATACACAGCATACCAAGAGAGTAAATGTTTGCAGAGTGCTTACTTTTCAAAGTAGATTACGTGTCCTGTGGAGGTTTACAGTATAACTCATTCTGCTCAACACCCCTGTCTGTAAGTTGTCATTTAATGAAACAAAACCTGGTTCTTTAAACTCCACACTAACGTTTCGTATGATAAATATTAAATGTTGATAAATATCTCCATTGATTTATGTTTCAGGAAAAATGAAAACGTTTTTACCTTGGAAATTGAAACAAATTCAGAATTCTGCTCTGTGACTTTGATTATAAAAGGTTTTAAATGCTCTCTTTCAAAAAGAATACGCATACATCTGAGTCTGCTCTATGCACAAGTTCACATGGTGAGTAAAAAAGGTCAATCTTACATGGATTTGATCAAGCCAGTTCAAAACTCTTTTAGGACATTTAAATCCATTAGAATTTGATTTACAGCATTTTGGCCAGTCTAAGCAAGCATGTATATTAAATATCTATTAAATGTATCAATTTTGAGTCACAGCTGATACATAAAATAGCCTTTATAAATCTGCAGTTCCTGCAAGAACTGGGTATTTAGTGATATCCAAGCAGTTTAAAGTTTCAAATTCAAAATAGTTCTTTAAAACCTATGAAAACTATATTGCAATCCTCTTTGCAATCACACATTTTTTTCTGCTTTTGCTTTTTTTATCTGATAAAACTCATTTAATTAGAAGAGATAAAGATCCTCTGGTTTTATACAGCCTATTTCAAATAGTAAAGGCCTTTTTATCATTGAAAACTCAGTAAAGACTTGTAAGCAGAGAGCTTTAAAAGGATGATTTTAGCAGTTATTTTGACCCAATAGCTCCTCCTGTTGTGTTTAAATATTGCATCAGTACTGAGCTCTTTCTTTTCTTTTTTTTTTTTCTTTTCTTTTTCTTTTTTTTTTTTTTAATGTAGAAGTTCAAACTAAGATTAAGCTGACTTGGTCTTTTTGGTAATGGTCTGGACATTTTCAGAATATGTTTTCTGAATTTTTTAAGGAGTTGATGGTACTGAAGAGTAGATGACAATGTTTTCCAAAAAAACTTCAACTAATACATCTGGAACAGTCATAGAGAGCTTACTTAAGTTTTCTTTGCCACTTAGCCTGTGATTTAACTCATTGAGAGTCAAAGCAAGGCATTAGGAGACACAGGCTACTTTTGAAGGCAGTGCTCTGCTGTGGACATTCTCATGTCTACTGACATACATGTAGGGAGGAAGAAGCTCAGAGTGTCTCACATCAGCACTTAGAAAAGCTTGGGAAAGAAAAGGCTGTGTTGCCTCCTGACAAGTCCATTACTGGGAGTTTAAGGAGCAGGGTGGGTGGTGGTGCAAATTGTGGCTTTCTAAATCATAGCTTCCAAAGTTTCACAGGTTGACCTCCTCATGACCATCCTGAGAAACAGAGAAGACCAGCGAAGCTTTCAAAAACATGGTAAGCCTCTCAAAAATCCTGTGTGTGCCAAGCTGGGTGTATGCATTGCCTGATGCTAAGTTGTTGCTCCTCCAGGTTGTCATCTGCTCAGATGCAGGTTGCCAAGATGTGTACCTCTGAAGCAAAAAATATACTTGCCTTAGTCAATAGAAACAACCTGGTGATCTACAGAGAAACCACCAGCCCTGGTTATAATCTTACCTTGAAAATGCATATTTTGAGAAGAAACTCTATTGGGTGCATCTGTTGCTGCTGGTGTAGCTGATTATTTAGATGGGCTTCATGTTATTTTACCAGCTTCTTGCTCATGCTTCTCAGTCACCACTTTTGTGATTCGTAAAGAAGTTTTCAGCTAACACTGAAGTGTTGTTGAGTGAAATGTATTTGACAGCCATTATTATTCCTGAAATAACCCTCTATGTTCAAATCCGGCATTTTTTTCTAGCTTTTAAAACATATTTTTACTTAGAGCCCATTGGGAAATTTAATTTCTATTACTTTGATTGTTGGTGAGCCATTAGCAAAAATTGAACAATTTGTGGGTCCATATTTCATTCCTGAAGTATATGAAACTGGCAAAAATATCGAACCCACTACATGCTTTTTAAAAAAGCTTTTATTAGAACACATACATATAAAAAGACTGTAACTCTGTGCTTATTTTATTTTCTTCATAAAGTTGTCATCCTGCCTACAAGATCAGTTTACAACTGTAAAAGGCAGAACTTAATGACTAATTCTGTAACACGAAAAACATATGGTCTCGATAATCATTACATTTTTAATGATGTGGCTTGGACAGAGTCATTCATGGCTTGTAGAGTCATTCGTCCTTGAAAACTGCCTTACCTTGGGGAGGTATCGCTGACGGTCTCCAACATGCCATTAACATTCTTTCACGAGGAAAGACAATGCCAAGTGTATCATATTTTCTCAGGTGAAAACCTTCCTTAGGATGTATCTACACCTCCTTTAAGTGCTTAGAAACTGCCTGTGTAGTAGTAATTGTTTGTGTCTGAACTTTCTTGGGGGTGGAGGGGGAAAGTCCTTGGAGAAGGTTGGCTTGGGGAGAGATTTATTGTCCAGCGCTAGATATTGGCAAGTGCAGGACGACTGAAAAAGCTATGTACTTGCATCATATTTTCCATACTTCTTCCATGCTGCAAACATTTCACTGCAACAGGAGTTACCATTATAAATCAGTTTTAGCGTAAATAATCAAGGCTTTACTATAGACAGACTGTCCAAACTGCAAGATGTTTTTTTTCTGCCTACATACCATCTCTTCTCAAAAATAATGTGACCAAGATTTTCAGTTTAGTGCTAGGTCCAAGACAATTAATTCAGTGGGCCTTTGGTCTTAGGTTCTCAGCTTTTGTACTTAAAGTTGTCGAAGAGCTTTTTATGCCTTTTCCTGGGTAATGATAAAGAATTCTTTACCATACACTTTCTGTGTTGACAACTCTTTGGTTAGTCAAGAGCTGTCATTTTTTCTTAATAGCAGGCTCTGTCCTTTTTAATGAGTAATAATTTGTTTCTAATTTAATATGATTTAACTGAGATTTATATTAAAATTCAGAGTAATATGGGTGCCTATGTTAAATATCTTGCAAACTATTTTTATGCTTTTATGATTTCTTACAAAGTAATATTAACTCTGGATTCTAACAGAGGCACAACAAAACACAAGCTAGTTCATAACCGGGTCAGCACACAAGCCAGGATGCAGTTAGGTTTGTAATTTTAAATATTAATTTGCCTATTCTCTCATTTCAGAAGAATAACCCTGGAAAATAAGGAGTGAATGAACAAGAGGTAAACTACGCTTAGTTGTTTGGTTTTTTCCTGATATGAGTGCAGAGGAATAAATCTGAATCTTGTGTATATCAAGAACAAACTGAGGTTCACCCTGTGCTCACTTACCCTAGAAGCAAATTTGCAATGAGGCCCAGTTTTTGTTTCTAACATTTATACTTCTGTGGCAACTGAGGTTTTCAAAAAGCCAGGCATCCCCCTGTGCTACATATATATTGATTTATGCCTCCTATCCTAATCACCTTTCCATCGTGCCTGGTTCTGCAACCATATGCAGGTATTTATTTACTTACATAGTCTTACTGAATTTAATATTAATTCCTCTCCATCTCTAAGCTGCACTTCAGTCTGCCCTGCTGCACAGAGCAGAAGCTCACAGGACCAGGAAAACATTATTACTGTTGGTATGTCTGACTCCACTGGGAATACTGGTCTAGTAGCATTTTACTGTCGTGTCGGGGTCACAGATTTATTGGAAAATCATCAGAGTTTGCTTCCTGAGGATGTTCTGCTTTTTATGCTCTTTTGCATGTCAGCCTGTGGCTTTAAATTTTGCAGTGCCCTTTACCTACTAATTGCTGCCAACCTTCAATTTATTTGGCAGTAACTTACCCCCCCGGTACCGTACTTCCCCCTGTGAATGATAGCGACAGAGTAGAGCCCAGAGGGAATCAGGGAGCTGAGCTTGCACTACAGCATTCAGCAAAACAACACTATGACAGTAAAAAGGCACGTAAATGTACTGTAAAGTAAATAAGGTCCAGATTTTCATTATATAGCACTTCTGGCATACCTCTCTTAAAATTCTTTCTTTTATAGCCACTCAGCAAATACAGGCACAACACTAATGATTCATATTTTGCTGAGTTATGTCATCTTGAAGGCAGTTTGTTTTTATTTCCACTTGGAAAGGATACTTTTCCACTTGCGTATTATGTCACACTCCTTATAAAAATAGAGACCCGGTCTTGCAAACACCTTGGAGTGCTCCTGGTACGGAATGAGACTCATGACCATTACAATTCTCACACCCTCCTTATTATGCTTATAATACTTCAAAATGTTCCCCTCTTGGCTTGAAAAATGTCTCCGTTCTTGGTCTGTGTACAGCTTTTCTTCCTAAACAAAATTTCTTCTGGTTGGTTTTTTTTTTTTTCCACCTGGCAGGGATTTATATGTATGCTTATGTACTTAGTTCATGTTAATTAGAGATTTCACTCATTAAAAACCTCTATTATTTAGACACACTTGATCTGTTTCTTCATACTTGAAAAAAATTGATTCACTTGATTCTTCTTTTAATTAGTAAAAATATGAAAGGAATTATAAACTTATGCAATATAAAATGGCTTCTTTCAGCCTGTGTGCATTTAAGAGGATGTGCACTGGTTCTGAAAGAAAATAAAGAAGGAAAAGTACTTGAGAAACCTAGTATTAATGTAATAGGTTGCCAAACCAATAGCATAAGAGTCAGGAAATTAACAATTGTGGCTTCTCAAGCAACAATCTACATTCAGCATAGGCAGAGTGTTCGCTCTGCCCTTTTCAAAGAGCTATTACTTGCAGATTAGAAATTGACACAGGGAATAAGGTATGTACTCTTTATAAAATATCTGCAGGTATACAGAATTCTCTTCTTTTTTCCCTGGTTTTTTCTGATATTTTCCCCTTTTTTCTTTTTTTATTTTTTTTCAGGGGGTAATGAGGAGTAATTAAAACTCTGGAATAAATAAATAAAGCAATTTGTAAACCGTATATATTTTGTAACCATTATATATGAAATGAACTCAATTATCTGCCACACATCCAATCTATCAAACCTTGAAAATAATTTAGAATTTTCAAGCTCCTGGTTTCAAATATCATACTTAAATGGAGGATGGAGGAGATATACATTAGTTACTTATTAAAAAATGAAAAATAAAGACAGGAAGGCAGCCATGACAACCAAGAATATGTATATTCCATAGAGAAAATGGTGAAAAAAACAAGGCAAAAATGTGAAAGAAATGTGGAAAATGGATTTGGGGTCTAATTTGAAAGCAACTAATTCCTACCACTCTTTCCTTAAAAGAAAGTAATGCATCCCACTCTGTGCATTACAGCACTGCTTTGGCACGTGAAGGTTGTTTTTTACTGAAGATGTTGAATGATAACTACCAACAAAAATATTTAATTTCCTATAAGTCGCAGACTTAGTCTTAGCCCTTTTTAACTGCCAAAATGCTTAGACAGTCTCTAAACAGTCATTGAATATTTTCACTTCTGCATGTACTCGTTTCCATCCAACCAGCCAACTTTTCATCTCTGTGAATGCTTTACTGTCTGTGAAAAGTGCTGCTTAGGCAATGTTTATGTTGAAGGTTTTCCCTTTATTGGTTACACTGAGGCACCGGGACTTTTCTGGGTGCTTTGTAGACCACAGTATGGCCACTGAGCACCCAGTGGAGCAGGTGTCTCTTGCACAGCTGGGAAAAAGCTCTCCATCAGGAGGAAAATTAAGGTTTTCCTTTTCCTTTTCAGTTCAGCTCTTCTTTTTCATGTCGGCCATGCCACCAGCTTATGCATGCTGAAGAAGGTGGGGATTCCAGTCCAGTACAAGCTGAAAACTTGAAGACCAACATGGGCCACTCCACCTGAAAACTGGTAGGTGCTACGTCCCACCATTCCCTTCAACTACACAAGCCGAACTTCTCTCTGATAGAACCTCCCTCCCTTCAGCCACCAGGAACACACTGTTCAAATAAATGCAGCATTAATATGTTTGCCAGCCAGAGGGTATCGGGCACTAAATAATAAGGGTGTGTTAATGCTGTTTTAAAATTTATTCCCAGGAAGGTCATCTGCCTGAAGCTTACTGCTCACAAGGTTTGTTTGAGAGTAAAATCACCTCATAGAATCACAGAATCGTTTAGGTTGGAAAAGCCCTCTGAGATCATTGAGTCCAAGTGTTAACTTAGCACTGCCAAGTCCACCACTAAACCATGTTCCTCAGCACCACATCTACCCATCTTTTAAATACCTCTGGGGATGGTGACTCCACCACTTCCTAATTTTTCCTAATACCCAATCTAAACCTCCCCTAGTGCAACTTCAGCCCATTTCCTCTTGTTCTTTAGCTTGTTAGTTGGGAGAAGAGACTGACCCCACCTCACTACAAGCTCCTTTCAGGTAGTTGGAGAGATAAGGTCTCCCCTCAGCCTCCTTTTCTCCAGGCTAAACAACCCCAGCTCCCTCAGCCGTTCCTCATGAAACTTGTCCTCCAGACCCCTCACCAGCTTCGTTGCTCTTCTCTGGACACGCTCCAGCCCCTCAATGTCCCTCCTGTAGCGAGGGGCCCAAAACTGAACACAGTATTTGAGGTGTGGCCTCCCCAGTGCCCGGTACAGGGGGACAATCACTGCCCTGGTCCTGCTCACCACGATGTTCCTGGTACAAACCCGCACCATTAACGTGGGGAATACAGACTCCAGCTGAAACAGCAAGGACGTTTCATGCCACAACACAGCTCTGTTTGGCCACAGCTCCACTACATCTTGCCTGTAAAGGCCATCTCTCCTGTTAGGTGATGTTTACTGTAGGCTACATCTGACCCTAGCTTGGTTTCCCCCTTCCCTTTCCCCCCCCCCCTTCCCTTTTTCCCTTTCTTTCTTTTCCCGTTCCTTTTTCTTCTTCTTTTCCCCCCTTTCTTTCTTTTTCCCCCCCTTTTTTCCTTTTCCCTTTCTCTACTTTTCCCCCCTTTCTCTACTTTTTTCCCTTTTCTCTGTTTTCCCTCTTTCTCTATTTTTCCCCCTTTCTCTACCTTTTTCCCTTTTCTCTATTTTTCCCCCCTTTCTCTATTTTCCCCCCCTTTTCTCTATT